ACTCAGCGTAGAGAGCCGGATTGCTCTTCATCTGAATTTCTTGTTTATAGGCCTCCAATTCCTCGTCTGTTACTTGACCAAAAGGGTTCTGTTTCGTGTAGACACCCTACAAAAATCAAACATAAGTACCGCTTGGTCTTTACTATATTTTACCCGACACTACTTATAAGGTCAAGTTTGAAAAGCACTCGACGATTATATGGGTTTCTATCAAGAAGTTAGTATCCCTGAAAGCAACAATATGGTCTACCCATCAACCCAGAAGATATCGAACGCCTACAAAATGTTCAAATTTGATTATAATTTTAATGACCAGAAAGAGCAAGTCAAAAACACATTGCGGAACAAGGAGCAACAACCAACCTCGTAAACAACGGCGGCATCACGAACGTCACGATGGAGAATGGCCTTGCTGGCCGCCGCAATGGTGGAATGCGAGCCCGGAAGGGAGGCGGAGACAGCGCCAGGACCGAGGGCTTTAGCTAAAGCTTCGTCACGAATGCGACGTGCCTCATCCCACGTCAACCCTTCCAGCAGACGCGACTGCGGTCCCGCGGTGTTCGTGTCTCTGTAGTATTTCTCACGCACCTACATGGTCCAAGCCAAGGAAGAGAAAGCGAGCACTTGAGGTTGGACCAATCGGCTATGGGATACGCTCCAACCATTATCTAATACAAATAACTTTACAAGACAGCAATCGAAAAGGCCTGATTTGAGTGAGCTCAATACGTAAACCACTTTCAACACAGGTGCAGCCACAACGATGGGTGTTCCTCGATCCTTTCTAGCACGGCCACAGCTACAAAGGTTGTAATTACATGCAAATTTCCAGGCGCCCGTTGCCAAAACACTACTAAATATTGATTGGCAAACGAGTGTTGGTACACCGGCGTGCAAATACCAATCGCAATCATTGCGATTACATGGCACTTCGGGGTCGGTGTGGAAAAGAAAGTCATTAGAGGCCATTAAGGTGACAATAACCAACAACCTGATTCCCATCATGAACAAATTGGTACTCTAGACGATTTTAAAGGAACGTAGATAGCTTAGTAAAAAAGGCAAGGTTTAGTAATACACTCATACTTCCGACAATAACCACGTGGACTTGATAGTCCTGAGATGAGACCCATGGGTATCTAAGAATAACGTAGCGATGGCGAGAAAGAGTGCAAAGCAAACCTTCTTCTGGTGCTCCTTGAGTTCCTTGGGATCATCGCCCTGCGGTGCAAAGCGGTTGAAGTTCAAAGCACTGGAGGGAGTGTTGCTTTGAGCACCTGTGGTTCCTAAAGGGACTGCAGCAGGCGTGAGAGGGTGGAATGGTGTAGGAGGAGGTAATCTGCCGCTAGAAATCTCCATATGTAGCAATGCCTCACGACTAGACACCCAGTGAGCTACGGGTTGACGGCCTGGCAGAGTCGAGACCTCCTTTGTATAGTTGTTCGGTGTGTTAAGCCATCGCTGGTCAGACCACTGACGTCGAAGTGTTCTAAATCGCACAGCGGAAAATAAACTGACCACCATTTGACCACTATCAAAAGTCCAAAATGGCACGCAATCCCATTGATAGTACTTATGCATCCATCAAATGAACTTCAATACTCAATCGAAATAGAGCTTCCGTCGAAAAAAATAATTTTTAGACAAGTTTCATACAGTAAATCCGAATGTTGACCTGGGGAAACATGCATCAATGCAAAATTTTAATGCAACGAATTTTTCGAATATAAATGCTAAGGCGCCTTAAAACTGCGATATCGGTGATGAAGATGGAAGAGGAATTTTATGGAATGTAGCTGCGAAAATGTACACAAATGATGACTGTCATAGCACATAATTTGAAAGATGAAGGTAGTTGCAGGATGGTTTAAATTTACACCGAGAGAAGTTAGAAGCTTAGCGTCTGATTTTTCGCATACATGTTTATGGGAAAAATTGGATCGTTAGGCCCGACAGCAGCAAAGAGAAGCTGCGAAGAGGACAGCGAGAAGCTTTCAGAAGCCAAGTACTCAAGTTACTAGCCTACTGTTTTGATTCAATAATCAACACTACGTGTTTGTGATTCAGTTGCAAATTTCTTCGGGAAATTTAATTGTCAAAGGAGAAACACAGACGTCAGCGGTAACAGTGAGACAAGAAAGGTTTTATAAATAAGTGCAATGCAAAGTTGAGGACGTAATTAAGGTTTGAATTTTACGGACAAATACGGTTCAAAACCAGCAGAGACAAAAAAGGGTCACAGATTACAGCAATATATTTTTTTAGTGACTCAGGCGAAAGCAATTCGGCAGAAGTCGTCCGAGGAGGGGAAACATACCCCGGTCTAGGAGCGTCAGATTCGTCGCCAGAAAAGGCCCCGGTATCGTCGTAATACTGAGCAATGGCAGTGGCCGCTGAAGACGTGAAGGGTGGCACTTCGACGTCCTCAAACCGTCTGGTTCCTATAACGGCACCCGATCTATCCAGTGTTCTTCGAGACGGTCGAGGACTAACCGCAGCATCCTAAAATCGTAATGGTACTAATATATAGTGGAAGTGAACTAACAATACGGGAAATGCTTGCTTTGCCGTGAAACGGTGGCAAGGCAAACGACCTGACCCTGACCCATAGTACTCAAATAACTACCGAAAAATACTACGGATTAACCGCATCGAATTTGCTGAATGAATTTTGTTATCATAACCAAAATAGTCAGTTTGGCCAGCACTCTTGGAAGTTAGAAGACCGCAGGCTAACGCATCTACAACAGTGGAATTATCTAGAGTAGCCTCTACATTCATTCTAATCGAGTCTAAGGGGCGACTACATTATCTTAACAGATTTTAGTCTGGTATGTTACTATAAAGCCCCTATCTTTTGCCCATAACATTAAGCAACAAGAACAGTGATCTCTTGATAATGAATATGAATGAATGGGTCGATTACAAAGTCCAAAAGTCATAAAAGCCACCAATTTACTAGGAGAGAGAACTACCAACCTGTCGGTAGAGGTGGCCAGTTCTGTAGCCGGCGTTGTCAAGGTGGCGCATGAGGGCCTCAAACTCCAATTCACCAAGACGCCAAGGCCGTGCAGAGGCGGTGTGCGCGACCAAAGAAGAGTCGGATAAATAGCCTGCGTCGGTACCGTTAGCGTTGTGGCGAGAGAGCGAGAGAGTGCGTGCGTGCGCAAGGCGAATAGCCATTGTCGCCTCTGGACCTGACACGCCGCCCAACTCTGTGGTGCGCCACGCTTCGTACGTCCTCTTCTGGACCTGCTGGTTCGGGAGCACTAAGTGATCCACACCCAGGGAGGCCAGTCGCAGCTACAATTTCAGGAAGATAGAAATGATGGGTGAGATGCGTTTGATGCATGCATTTATGCAGATAGATAGGCAGATATAAAATCTTTGCTGTAGTTCTCCTGACGGGTATTAAATCACTGACCTAGTGAGAGGTGAAAGATTTGCTTTAAAACAAACGAGTTTTAACAAACGCCATTGCCAATTATGCACTCGGAATCATGCGTTTGCATAAACAAATATAAAAGGCGCTGAATGCAAAGGAAACACGGCATAAACAAAGACTGAGAATGATGTACAGTTCCATTTTA